CCACACATGTTGTTTCTTTCGAATATTTCCTTTGAATCAAACTATATTTCAAATTTTGGCTCTTATAGAGCTGTTATAATGTTTGTTCCCTAACAGTTACCCACCCGCACTATGCGCTATTTGATAATAATGTGTTAGTTATTTGAGTAATCTTTCTCCTCCAATAATGGTAGGTATATTCAGATTGTTCAACAATACTTAAAAACTAACATGAGCGTTGTTTTCATCTTACAGATGGTCTTCTTTCTATAAATTTGCTGATGATGAAGGAATAATCCTTCGAAACATGTCATTTTGTCCATGACCGTTGGTCATTATCAAATTGTTCATGTGGTGGACTTGTGACTGTAAGTTCTTTCACCACTCCTGAATTAAATCACTTCCACTGTATGGTATGGATCACTTACGTTGGTTCAAATCAATTAATTTCATTAGATTTCTACTACTACTACTACTACACCAAAACAATCATCAAAGTAGATCGACATATATAATGATGTTTCAGAACATGTCGAACAATGTGAAAAAATCAATAATCCTTTTCATTCCTCTATAGATTTTTGGGATTTCCTCTCCACGTCTCAACAAATGAAAATATATCGGGTGGTCACAAAAAAACCGGAAGTTTTTATTTTCCTCGTGGTTTCATCATTTCTCAACCGAATTCGGATTTCTTGGCGTCGTTTCATAGCTAAAGGACTATAGTATACAGTGGAATATTTGGAAATTCCATAACGAACAAAAACAAAATGGCGGATTCTACCAAAAAGTATTGTCATTTACAAAAACCGCTGGAGAAATAGAAAATCAGATTTTCTCCAACCTGTACTGATTTCATCTCAGGCTATTCATTTCTGAAGAGAATGAGTACTCGAACATCGAAATCGAACAAATAGTCCAGTAGATACACTCATTTCTTTGCAATTTGTTATGGAGTGAATGTGGGAATCTCGTATAAACGATTATAATTATTTTGCTTCAGGCTTCATGAAAAATCAATCGAATTTGGATCTCTTAAAGTTATTTCAAAGATAAAGAACTGTAGTACATAATGGAACATTTGAAATCTAATGATTGAAAGAAACAAAATGGTGGAGAATCCAGAATTTTTGGGATTTTCAAAAATCTCTGGCGAATAAAAAAATGTGTATGCTTCCAATCAGGAACGATACAATTTCAGATCATTGATTTCTAAGAAGAATGAGCACTCGAACATCTGAATCGAACAATTAGTCCAGGAGAAACATGTTCTTTTTGGCAAAGTGTTATGGAGTGAATGTGCCAATCGCGTGATAAGTATTACTTTTAGTTCGCTTCTGGCTTTATCAGAATTCGATCGAATTTGGATTTCACTCCATAACACTTTGCCAAAAAGAACGTGTTTCTCCTGGACTAATTGTTCGATTCAGATGTTCGAGTGCTCATTCTTTTTAGAAATCAATGATCTAAAATTGTTTCGTTCCTGATTGGAAGAATACACATTTTTTTATTCGCCAGAGATTTTTGAAAATCACAAAAAATCTGGATTCTCCACCATTTTTATTCTTTCAATTATTGAATTTCAAATGTTCCATTATGTACTACAGTTCTTTATCTTTGAAATAACTCTAAGAAATCCAAATTCGATTGATTTTTCATGAAGCAAAATAATAATAATTGTTTATACGAGATTCGCACATTCACTCCATAACAAATTGCAAAGAAATGAGTGTATCAACTGGACTTTTTGTTCGATTTCGATGTTCGAGTACCCTTTCTCTTCAGAAATGAATAGCCTAAGATGACATCGGTACAGGTTGAAAAAAATCTGATTTTCTTTTCCTCCAGCGGTTTTTGTAAATGACAATACTTTGGTAGAATCCGCCATTTTGTTTTTGTCCATTATGGAATTTTCAAATATTCCACTGTATACTATAGCCCTTTAGCTATGAAACGACGTCAAGAAATTCGAATTTGGTTGAGAAATGATGAAACCACGAGGAAAATAAAAACTTCCGGTTTTTTTGTGACCACCCGATAAGGTTTTATGTCAATGAATATACAATACGGACAAATTAGATGATTTATCTCAGAAAGTCACTGCGTTCAAGGATTTCACTATTTGAAAACCACCTGAAAAGTGATATTCAATCGACAGTCATTAAATCCTTGTTTTGAAAATTGTTGGGAGGAGAGGAATATAGATATATCGAAAAAATAGTCCGTGGGACGAGTAGTTTTTTCTGGCCGTTTTTTGAGTTTGAGTTCGACTAAAAGAAGAAGCTAGAGTGTAATTCGGAAAGACAATTTAATTCATCAAACATTTGTTTATGGTTGGTTGTCATGCTTTCAAAAGTTAGGTTCCGTTATTGTCGCTGGAAATGTTAGGGCAAACTTTTTTCGCTGTCATAATGACAAAATCACGCGGCTTGTGGGATTTTTCATACATGAATCAAATTGTCACCATAAGAATGGAATACTATATTTTTTTTCGTTTCGCATTTCGACAGTTCTTAGTGACATAATCTGGTATCCACTCTTAAGATCTGAGTGAAAATATGGTGAATTAAAGATTCATAAAAAATCACCCTGTAACACATTTCTTCGTCAACTTCTGGTAGTATCTCATTTATTACTGGTACATTCAATTTGTACCAGACAGAGGAAAAATGAATGAACTAGGTAATAGTTGTTTTTCATTCAATTTCAATTAATCATGTGGGTGGCCACGCTCGGCATATGCAGCTCGAAATTGCTCTAATGGATTCGTGTTTGTTTTATCACGCTGACATTTGTATCCGTATCAGATTCTCGAAAAAACTAGTCACTTTTTTGAAGAAGTCGCGCGAGAGGGTAGTATATTCGATGTCTAAACGATCGTGACTCTCGAGACATCAGGAATAGGAAAGTGAAATGACATGACACATATGTTCTCAAATTAGTGATTTGTATTTCAATACCTCAAATGATTCTTGATAGGATAACTTATGCCTACTAATATCTACTTCAATATCTTGCGAGTGGGAAATTATTTCATCAGGTAAGGCACTTGATATAGTACAATAATGTACCCTATTGCCCCATCAGAAACAGTTAGGATAGAACAGTTTTGTGTCATAGCCGCATAAAATAGTATATTGTTTAACGAGCACGGAATGATAGTGATTTCCCACGAGAATGAAGTTTGCATCATGAGCCGTAGGCGAATCCTGCAATCATTCGAGTGGGAAATTAGTATTCCGTACATTATAATTTTTCTACTGCTGTAACAAATAACAGAGACATTTTAAATTTCTTCGACTTGTAGCCATCTGATTTCCTGTCAAGTAATGCTCATCTATTAGACAGAGCTGTCATTGCTTGAAATTTGACATTCCATAGCAATGAGATTTTTTTGAAATAAAAACACAATGATGTCATTGTGATATCAGATACGAAAATAAAATTGATGACAAACAAATTACCTCATTGATGGATCGAAGACAGTGAAACAAGAGCAATTTTGTGTTATAGCGGTAGAAAAAGATGAACAGGGTGTCCGGATATTATGCGCAAGAAATTAATCTACATTCAACATACAGTGTGTTGAAACTTTTAAAAAGGCTTTTTATGAATATCTCAAATGTCCTTCCACCGATTCTCTCGAAATCTGACAATAATATTTTTTGTCATGACGCGCTGATGTAGTCATAATTCGATTGGAAATATAAAATCCAGTGGAATATTAATTTCAATAAAATGTGCGCCACTGATTTTTTGAATTCTGTATCTTTATAACCTATTGACCATCTGAAAATACAGCATTTTGGTCTCATGAATTATTTTGATAATTTGCTCCATTTCAATGGAACAAAATGAATACCAATTTATTGCATAAATTTTTGGCAACAAATTCCTTCAAAAACTGGGGTGAAAATGAAAACTTGATCGATGTCTATAGACACAGAATAAGTATGAAGATTGATTTTCTTTAAATATTTCTTGATACATGTTTGACACACTCTACACTCTGTATATTGAGAACTATGTATTCTCGGCGATAATACAAAGTTTTTCAAACATGTATTATAAAATATTTGGAGAAAATGAATCTTCATTTTTATTCTACATCTATGTACATGGATAAAACATTTAATTTCACCCATGTTTTTGAAGCAATGTTTTGCACGCCACTGGATTTCACAATTCCAATTCAATTATGGCTAAATCAGCCCCTCATGACAAAGAATATAATTGCCAAAATTCAATAGAATCGGTGAAAAGATATGTAAGATAAGTATAACGCACCGAGTATATATGATTTAAATTTCATGTTGATTTTTTGCGCATAATTTCTGGACACCCTGTATATCCTCACAACAGCTGAAATACTGTTGTAGACATCTTCGATCACAAAATTTTCGTTTTCACATTCTTGATTTATTGTACACAAATCGATGTAATACATTTGTTGAAAATCTGAAGTAAATCATCTAGAATCTCATCTAGGATCTCAAAATGATATCATCTTTGGAAAATGAAACAATATTACATTTTCATTTCCTGATGTTTGGTATTTTCATGAGATTTTCAGTAGCAAAGGAAATTAACCGTTGCTAATGTTGTTATCCAACGTTTTTCTTCCCACTGCATACAACGGCAGAACAATTACGAATTGGTGTCAATCACATGGTATCGTAATCACCAACAGTTTTATGAGCTCATATTCATATATTCAATGAGATATTGAAACATATCTAAGATTCAAAATGAAACAAAGGAAGTCGAGGTCGATCTACCACAAAATTGATAATCCATCATCTATCATTATTTATATATTCATATGGAAAAGTGCCATGTTTGAAGACTCAATGTATAAGCCACAAATTATGTGGCTAGTTAAAACCACAAATACACCTCAAAACTGTCGCTTTTATAAATTACCAAATATATCTACTATTCGAAAACATCATAATAGTATACTTGAATCGAAATAGAAATATGTTTTTCATTACGATTAAGTACAGTTAATTGACCTATTGAATAATTCAACTTGAATTTCTCTCGAAAGGTATCATCTTATCAAATTTTATTTGGATGGCTGAATCTTCGGTGCACCTGAAACAATTTTTTTTTGTTTTTGATAACGGCTCCAGTTTTTGGTGACATACTTGGTTTGCTTGGTTTGAAAAACAATCCTGCAGCTCGAATCAATGGTAGCTCATAGAAAATAGTGAAGAGGAAGGCCAAAATGAAAACACAAAATAGGTCAGCAAATGCGTCAAAAATCTGAAAATAAAATTTCAGATTATCTTCTTACAAACCATGAAGTAATTAGAAAATATGAATGAGTCTTTCACAAAAAAATGTGTGATATTTTCCAAAAATCATAAGTGGAAATCAATTACCTCGTTGAAGTGTGATTATTACAATTGCTACTATTCATACAGGGTGTTTCATAATATATGCGCAGGACTTCGCTCGTCAAAAATATTAGAAAAAATGTCAATCAACTTACCCTCTGAAATGCGTCAATTTCGAGATACAATGTGATGAAATTTGAAAAAAAAATCGCTTTTTACGAATATCTGTGGAACCGCTTATCGTGCAGAAAACAGCTTTCGTAATCATTTTCTACTCATAATGAGCTATGTTTTGTGCAGAATTTATTTTCTTCCAAGTCATAATTGGTGGAGATTTCGAAGGGGTAGGGAGTGTTTTTTCCCCAACTTCTACGACACTGGAAAGAGTACAATTTTGAGCCACCTATTTGAACCACCAATGTTTTCTACACCAAAAAGATTTCGAATTGACTCGGTCGTTACTTGATGGAAATCTATGGCAAATGTAAAAACTTCACAAACGATAAGATTTCCACAAAATTCACAAACACACGACATGTTTCGCTAACGCAGTAGCTTCTTCAGGTGATATACTGGTACAATGAACTGAACTAACCTTGGCTTGCTCAACTTTTATATATCCTACTTTCCCAACCTGAAGGATAAGTTACCTGTGGACAGGTTCAATAAATCTTCATTTTCGGAAATTAGGCACAATATCTACATCAAAATCAAAATATGGGGTACCGGATCATTAAGTGGAATGTCAGAATTTCTGAGTTTCTTGATTCCTAATCATACAAAATGATTGAGTTTCATTGCACTATTTTCTACGTGTAGACTTTCGAAATTATCATCAAAACTATGGTTTCATTGTAATATATGATTGGAGTATGTTGAATTCGTTTTCTTTTCCAAAAAATGCATCTCATATTCCTGAATGCGCTGATTTAACGTATACGACCTGTCTGACCGATATACAGTGTGTCCCACTTACCATGCTCACCATGGGTATCTTTTTAACGGTGAGAGATACGAGGTCGGTTGAATGACACCAAATGTGAAGTTTGTCAAGGCCAACTATAATGTGAAAAAATATTTTGATAAAATCTATTCGTTTTTGTTTTATACGCAAAAAACAGATTTTGATCATTTTCATGTCTCCTCTGTAACTTCATTATTTATGGAAATATTCAAATAGGAATTTCACATTCTCATGGCAGTTTTTCAAAGTGATTTCGTAAAAAATATGAAATGTATACCAACTCTTCTAGAATATGAGATATCAGCACCAACTTTAGTTTTTCAAATGTAGGTCATAGCTCACTATGACTTAGTTACAAATAACTTTTTTTTCTCTTACAGATGATATGTCGCAGTAATAGTTTCGCGTTGATAACAACGGAGTTATCGTCATTTATACAAAAACAAAAAATTATTTGGAAGCCGCCATCTTGGATTCATAAATTTTAACAAAAAAATCATGATCTCCGACTTCAAAAACCACCACTTACCAATTTTGAACGGAATCGGACCAAATCTTGTCCGCCATCTTGGAGCAGCCATTTTTTTAATTGATGGCGGACAAGATTTGGTCCGATTCCATTGAAAATTGGTAAGTGGGGGTTTCTGAGGTCGGAGATCATGATTTTTTTGTTAAAATTTATAAATTCAAGATGGCGGCTTCCAAATAATTTTTTGTTTTTGTATAAATGACGATAACTCCGTTGTTATCAACACAAAACTATTACTGCGACATATCATCTGTGAGAGAAAAAGAAGTTATTTTTAACTGAGTCATAGTGAGCTATAACCTACATTTGAAAAACTAAAGTTCTAAAAGAGTTGTAATAAATTTTATATTTTTTTCGAAATCACTTTGAAAAACTGCCATGAGAATGTGAAATTCCTATTTGAATATTTCCATAAATAAAGAAGTTACGGAGGAGACATGAAAATGATCAAAATCTGTTTATTGCGTATAAAACAAAAACGAATAGATTTTATCAAAATATTTTTTCACATTATAGTTGGCCTTGACAAACTCCACATTTGGTGTCATTTAACCGACCTCGTATCTCTCACCGTTAAAAAGATACCCATGGAGAGCATGGTAAGTGGGACACACTGTATAGCTCAGGACAAGATCCACAGTTGAGTTTGTATACCCCTGATTTTTCGAATATTAAATTTTTGATATTTTTCAACATAAAAGCTGATTTTTAATGAAAACGGTCAACTTCAGAGCTCATTACCAAAAGTACCTTTTTGTGTTTAAAACTTTGAAGGTTCGAATGGGTGGCTCAAAACTGTACTTTTTTCAGTGGCGTAAAAGTTGAGAGAAGAAACACTCGCTACCCCATCAAAATCTTAACCAATCATGACTTCTGAAAAAAATATCTACTCAAAACATAGCTTATTATGAGTAGAAAATGCTCACAAAAGCTGTTTTCTGTGCATGTTTTTTTTTTCAAAGTTCAACACCTCGAAAATGGTGTATAAGAGGGTAAGTTGATAGAAACTTCTTTCCATATCTTTGGACGAGCTATCACATCCTGAAGTTCTGCGAATATATTATGGAACACCCTGTATACTTATCATAGAATATCCAACATTGTAAAGACATATTCCAGCCTATACGTGTACTCAACCAGAGTATTCAAATCTCATTCACTGTATATGCTTGAATATTTTTTCATCTTATATTGATTTAGAAGAAGATATATAAACTTACCACATTGACATTAGAGAATGCCATCGATAGTTTTGCCGACCCACATTTGTATAGTTGAAGAATGCTGTGTATCAAAAATATTCCATACGTGATTCTCCCCAGAATTTTGAACACATGGGCTGATAAAAAGTCATTCACTATGCCTACAAACCAGAGAACGTTTCTTCAAATACAAGAAAAGCCACCACGAATAAACAAAAAAATTGAATTTTACTACAACGGTCTAATATGGAATATTTCATGTTCTAAACAAACCATGGGTCAACTATAGTTATTTACACAGATAAAATGAATGGTTGAATCAAGCAGAATTTAATTGAATGAAGCGAATATCAGTGTCATATATGTACGACAAAATATAATCTCGCAATGAGTAAATATATATATATCTTGTTTCAGAGCGAATTTCAAGTTTGAATCAAGTAAATATGTCTTGCATGAACTCTGGATCTCATTCAATCAAGCACATCCATGAATTGTTTATGAAGAGATATTGAATTGGCTCAAACAATCATTTTGTTTTATTCGAAATGACAAGATATTGATTCAATGAAATATTTTGTTGATCCAATGAAATATTTTATTGATTCAAGAGAAATTGTATTCCCATTCAACAAATTGTTTTGTTGAACCGAATTCAGTATTGATTCGGGAAAATTTCCGAAATTTCACATCAATAGAATAAACTAAACTAGAATACTAGGCGACTTCTCTTCAGGTGATGCAAGACTATTTCGGCTTGCTAAGCATCCTGAGTTCGATTTATCCAGCTGATATTTCAAACAAATCAAAGTATACCAAAACTCAACGTCACCTTCTGAAGGGCTGATAGTCCTGCTCCCGACTGACCAGAATATCACAATTTGACCTTCGTATAATTTTGATAGTTTTGGAGATATCGCCATTTTTATGAATTTCGTGAGAATCGAAACCTTTGATCATTATTTTCAGTGCCGCAGGTACAAAACTTCGTAGTTTAAGATTCTTATTTTTGTTATGCAATCTGTAATAACCTTTCTATGGATAAGAATCCAAAATGAAAATATTGGTGCAATCTCTTTGGAGAAAAAAAAATACGTGTCTGACCGATTCACGAGTAAATGTATTTCAATTAGCTTACCTATACTGGAATTGCAACAATATCTTCATCTTAGATTCATTTTATTTTGGATTGTAATCAATAGAATGGTTATTTTAAGTGGCATAACAAAAATTAGAATCATTAACTATAAAGTTTTGTATCTGCGGCACTGAAAATACTGATCAAAGGTTTAGATTTTCACGAAATTCATAAATGTGCCTGTATCTTCAAAACAATCAATATTTTACTAAGGTCATAATGTGATATTCTGGTCATTCGTGAGCTGGACTATCAGTTCCTCGAAGGATGGCGTTGAGTTTTGGGACACCCTGTATTCTTCCTATTTTCCCAATGACATACTCTTAAGTTAGTTCATATTTTTGCAGGATGAACAATTTCTTTCTTCAGATGGCGTTACTTTCATTTTGTCGATGAAAGACGCCTCGGGGTGAATATAATGCCGACTTGATTTTTGTTTGGCTAGGCTTCGCTGAGTCGGCGGTCTTAGGACTGCTGGCTGGAGACTACACTGCACTGATGAGAGTCAAAGAGCTCGAAACCGGTCTGTGGTTGTCTAGCGGCCTGGCTTGATCGAAATCAATAGGCATAGATTTCGGGAGGATGTAATTCAATGTCCTGCGTGGCATTAGCCAGGGAAGTAGTTGTTTTTCTCTCGAAATCTACCATTGTTGTTCATTTTATGATGAACACTGTGTGGAAATGACTTTGAGCTTTTTGCATTTATTTAACATTTCATTCCACTTTGAGCATTGTGGCTATTTCGTAGTTGGAATTTCTTGGTTCTCAAGGTATCACCTGTTAATTTGAAACAGTTTGAATCATCCATAGCCATTGTGAGTCTTCAATACTCAGAGCTGAATGAGGTTGTTTTTTAGATAAAGCACAATGCGGTCTAGTATCATTCCTCATTATTTATTCCTATGTGAAAAGGTCCCCTCTGTTACATATTTGAACAACTTGTTCGCCAAGCCTCTCCTAAAATTCACATATATGACCCAAATCTACGGGGGAAATTCAAACCGTCTTGATCATCATACTATTTAAGTCTGGTGTTCAACAAAAGGTACTAAACCTAAACAGAGCTAGTAACTTCACCAGTTGTACAGTTTAAACCTTGTTTAAACCATAGTGACTCAGTTTTACTAAAGTCATCAGTCAGCTAAGCAATATGGCAATTATTTAAGTCCATACCTCCATAGCCATTCATGCAAGACCAAATGATCCAAACCAATCCAATGGTCCAAGCAGATCTGGAAAATGTCAAATAACTGCTGGACTCGAATCTATCGTAATCGTGAGTCGACATGTAGAAAATGTGGCAACCAAACATAGCAGTACTCAGCAATGCAGAAGATATAGCCCAGAGCATGATATTGGTCATCTTGCCGATTTTGATCTGTTTATCTCTCGTATGGAATAGGACGTAGCCGAAGGCTAGACCGATTATGTAAGGAGCTGCTCTATTCTGTGGAGCGATGTAGTATTCAGAGAAGTATTTTGTTTTGAAAAGCTGGTTACTAAAATAAGTTTAGGTTAGAGAACAGTTGGATCAGGAGCATATATTTTGCAACGAAGGAAAGTAAACAACTCACTATATCTGTAATTCTCATAATGAAGAATTAAAAATAGTTGCATTTGAATTAGATGAACAAATCTTCCTTTTGATTCTTGTTCGATCAACAGAAAAAAAAAAGTCTGAACAGGGAACATATTTCAGATTTTTTCTCATTGCATGCAGTACAATCTTCCAAAAACAGATTGCACTCCGGATTTTCCGAGAATTCAGGGTTTAGCAGATGATGGATGATTCAGATTAGATGATAGTCACCCATTAGACAGCGTAGGTCTGCCGTACTGGTGCCTTTTCTTGAAGGATTTATGAATAACCTTCTAGTATCCTGGAAAGTTTTGTTTGGGGTAAAATATTGTCCATAAAATTCAGGTGTTTAGTGATTACTTGCCGACCAGGGTGGAGTCAAGTTGTCTTCCAACTAAGAGAGTCTATTTCGATGATTTTGATGCTGTACTGTACTTACGAGTGCTTGACTAGATGATATCCCTGTTCCAGGTCTCTGACTGTATACCCGTACCAATGCCTGAGGATGTTTTTGGGCCATCTGTGAACTGGTTTTGGACGTTTTAAGCTTTGTTTTCATGACAACGTTTTGCTTCGTGCGTCTTGCGTTGCCTCGTTCTGATTGGCTATTTCAAATGACGGAAATTTCATGAAATTTGTCGTAATTTTCATTCATGCGTCCGCTTCCAGAGTTTGACAGGTTGAATACGAATCCATTTCGAATCAAATATTCAAAATGTATTATAGGTTTTCAATAATTATTGCCAGAAATAGTAATAATTTGACAACTGCAGTGTTGAAATATTCATTTTTCATAAATATATATGAAATGGATGGACAAAATTGGCGAAGAGAAAATTACTTATTTCATTGTATTCGAGAACAAAACGTGCCTACCGAAAAAAAACAATTTTCGGTGAGACCTATATTCCAAAATAGAAAAAGATTAGGAGCATTTCAAACCTTGATTAGAGAGCTTGCTGACCAGGACTCTGAATGCTATTTCAATTTCTTCAGGTACAATATGGTATTCTATAGTAGTCACTTACTCTTCCATATTTCAATAAACCATTAAAAACCCAAGTAGGTACACTGTAAATAGTCTGAATTTTATTGAATTCAAATTTTCTTGAATCTGTGCTCTTCCTGTTTTGGGTGATTGGGAAAACCTAAAACATAACCTACAAGAGTAGAGGTTCTCTCTCCCACATTTCTCGCGTTCGACGCAAAGAAGTTAAATATTTTTAACTTCATTCCTACTAAATAATAGGCCTGTTCGTTTGTCCTTGCTCTACCTGCTGAACTTGATTTTTTTTGTGACTCTCTTTGTGTACATCATGCCATGAACAGAGACAACTATGGGTAAAAAATCAACTTTAGCAAGTTTAGCAATACAAACGAACAGGCCTAATGCGTCAGTCAAAATAGCCAATCAGAACGAGGCAACGCAAGACGCACGACGAAAACGTTGTCATGAAAACAAAGCTTTACTGTACGAGTTACGTGCTTGAAAGACGGCCAAATAAATTCCTTGACTAGATAATATTTCTGTTTCAAGTCCCCAGGCAACCAGATGACGAATGGTCATGTCACTGTGACATACCCAATTGGTAATTTCTCGACAGAGACTTTAAACACTTTCTGACGTCACTATGATGTAATTTCTATGAAGTGTTAATCCCGTTATCATTACGACGTTGAGTAAAAGGCACTTAGATGGGTAAAGTATAACGTCAGTAATGACGTTGCAAGGACGTCGTGTCAACGTGATGTTTCCATATAGTTCGGTATGTGTGTGTATAATATATTATATACCGGCTGTCCGAAACTCGATCGCCTATATAACGTTTCTGGAGGATATAGGATCATCTTGAAATATTGGTTTCTTGAGTAATCAGTTCTGTTCTTTCGATCTAAAATATTTTCAGCGCTTCGGCGTTGCCGCTTCTATCGAAGAGTAGCAATAACTTTGTTATTTCGAATGGAACACCTTGTATTTTATTATATTTTTGGTATCTCGCTGAAGAGCGGATGTCACAAATCTATCACATGTGGTGGTCTATCGGGAATGATTATAGAAGTATTGGGTGTGAAAAATCGAGATTTTTTAAATTTAGTAATTTTATGTGTCGAAACTATCAATAATTGTTGGTGAAAACGGCTTTAATATTCCTATCTCAACTTCTGATTGACTATCTACTATTCTACTTACATTTAATTGAAACAAATATACGGGGTGGTTCATTATTCAAAATCCTGATCACCTTGTATCTGTTCAAATTTCAATTGATGGTAAATGAAAGGTCAAGATAGGGACATGCAAGCCGTTTGAACCAATAATGAAAAGTTTCAACACAAAAGATTCCTGAAGTTGAAAAATCCCGATTTTTCACACCCTATATCCCTGTAATCATTTTCGACTGACCCCTGGTGTAACAGACCATTGAAATCAATTCTTCAGGAAGAATCTGAAAACGCAATGAAAGCTGTCAGTATGATCTATTCACACACCATCAACAAAAATGTAAACACAATACATCTGAGTATGGTGTGAGCATCAGGTTTACAACCAATGTTGCTTGACTTAAGCTATCTATTTCTTAGAAAAATTTGAATATCTCCTCAATCATTCAACAGAATTTCAAATTAGATTGATCAACCTCAAAAACGAGCTATCAGCATCATTGTTATTTTGTTTATGTCCACAATTTTATAATCGTCAATTGCTATCCTAATATTTATGTTTCATCTACATATAATTTCCCAGCATACCTCAAGAGCATCCTACTGTTAATTCAAAGGCAAATCTCAGGCAAGGCTACGGAGATCGAAGAATGTGATCTACAACTCCATTCATAAATGAAAATTATCTGCTTATATTGTTGCAAAACATATATTCCTGATTACGCAACTGAGTATTCTTTTTATCATACGTTATTGTTATTGGTAACATTTGGAATTCAAAGACAACAGTGAATCGTGAGGAGTTATCGCAGGCAAGGCTACGGAGATCGAAGAATGTGATCTATAACTCCATTCATAAATGAAAATTATCTGCTTATATCGTTGCAAAATATATATTCCTGATTACGCAACTGAGTATTCTTTTTATCATACGTTATTGGTAACATTTGTCCATCATATTCGTTTATCCATGCAAAGTAAAAGCTACTGATGGTGGATAGACAGAATAAAGCGAATAAGCTCAAATATCCCAATCTTGGGTATTTCCATAGAGGGTACAGAATTATTGGAGAGAGAAAGTAGAATGGCATCTCACTAGATAAGTACCAAATGGGATAAATGCACTATAAAAACGAATAAGTATAAAGACAAGCTGTAAATCAAAATTGTATTAGTAGGTAGAAGAATTGGTGTTAAATATAAGTTCTTAAGGTTCATATAGTACATGAGAAGGTAGGTTTTTGGAATTTTATCAAGACATCGTATATTTCCTAACAAGGAAATAAAGAACATTTAACATCTAGTGGTGACACATTCATTTTAGTATCAGTAAAGCTGTAATCATACTTCCAACTCTATTACTATACAGGGTGTTTCCTAATTGAGTGTCAATATTTGAGGAGGTGTTCCTGGGGCCCATTTCAAAAAGAAAATTGTACATGAACGTATGACCTGAACGTCTTACTTCTGAGATACAGGGTTGAATTATTCAGTCCGAATCACGGTTTTCACCTAAAAAATGAAATATATTTATCTGCATTGTGATATTGTCATATTAATAACGATATTGTTATGATCATGCAGTGATACGGTTTCTATTTTTTTTTTACTGAAAACCGTGCATCAGATTGAAAATATCGTTGAGATCAAATTTGCTTAAAAACGATTGAGAATTTCAGGAATGATTTCAATTTTGAGATCAATCAGTGGGCAAACCATCAATGTCTGCCAAAATATGTGAAATTCCATACGAACGCCACTGGTTGCAACAACAAAAAAAGTGGTACATAAACTGATGCCTCTTGATACATAGTACATGATGTATGCCAAATTTCATCGGAATATCTGGAGTGGTATTACAGATATTGATGAATAACTTTTTATTTTTGAGAACTCTTACCACCCAAAGTGAAAGATGTTCAGGTCATACATTCATATGAGATGTTCTTCTTAAAATGGGCCCAAGAACCGCCTCCACAAATATTGACATTCAATTAGGAAACGCTCTGTATACAAGCGAACTTCAAATTGAAAAGCGTGATATATTACATAATTTTCATTTTCAATATCTCATCGGTCAAAAAAAGCTAGATTTATAAAAAAAAATAAAGAGCATAATTATGCTTTTCTACATTCATGCAAAAAGCAGAACTTGATTGAACTATATTTAGTGGAAAAAGAAGTTCTTTATTGCACTTAGTGCAATACAGTTTTTATTGCACTCATCTGTCATTCTACTTCAACGTGCTGTCATCATGACAAACATTTTTTATATTGCAACTGTGGTTATAGAAACGTCAGTCAAAAATCAATTCTGACAATTAACAGAATTGTACCTAGTGCCGCACCTCAATAAATCATTTTTCTACAAGCGTGCGTGATTCACCCTATACCCGCACGCAATTTAGTTTGGGAAGTGTCATTTTCCCGCAACAGTGCGGGAAAATTTTCCCACACTAGTGCGGGAAAACAAAGATATGATAAAATCGCTATAGTAATATAAGTGGTTGGTGATGGAATATAAAAGTTTAAGTTTGTTTGTTGCAGTATTAAGTATGTATGTTCAGAATCATCCATCAAATTGCACTATTTATTGTAAAAATTAAGAAATATTGAGAAATAAAAATTGATTATTATAAAAATCCCCCTAAAGATTTGGATTGATCTGACGGGAAACGTCAATTTGTCATGCCAATCAAACCTCAAATACGTTTGAAATTGTCGAAGTGACAGACACAGCGTTACTGTCATTTTCGATTCAGTGGAAATGCCACAATGTGATCAAAAAATTCTAGCTATAATAGGGATTTGATACAGATGCGTTATCACCAACTTGTTAGGAAAATTACTATTTTCGCTTTTTGCATGAACGTAGAAAAAATGTTGTATGCAACTCGTGCAAAAATTGTTTATTGCACTTGTTGCATTAATAACTATTATTCTAATATTGAACGCGTGTGACTCCATATTTATACTGCAGATGTGTCATTAGTCTATTACACCCTGTAAATTATCAAACTTAAAGCTTCACCACTATAAGGTTCGTAATTCACTTGACATCTGTGGATGATGTGATGGAGCTCAAATCAAATTGGTACATACAGGCAACTAATGTGGATGAAGTACTCATTCAAATGTATTCACTGAAAAATAATGTGTTTCACATACCAATTTATCAGGATTAACGAAAGCCTGGATATGTAAGAGGGTTGACCACCAATAATCCTGACAATATTTTTGGTGGTCCGTGTAAACATGGTACAGCATCGGTCCACTGCCCGTGAACTGGGGTAAAGTACAATAAAATAGTACCACCATTGCCAATGGTAGGGTGATCCTCAAATACCGATGGATGTAAAATAGAAACAGATTGAAATTTCCAGATTTCGTTACGTACTCGAAAAATCCATTCGAAACTAACATACCGCTCGCCATGAAGAAGGAATCGACACTTACTGTGCTTCCAAGAATGAGTGTACTCGAATATCGTTCAATCCACTACAAAAATACATTTTAACAGTCATTTCTTGAATTTTTCCTATACTCAAAGAAATTGATGGGTTGAATCAACCAAAAAGAGCATATGAAAATGAGTCTATCTGGTTTAATATTTATATCAACCAGCGAACAATAGTTGAATATGTTCAGTCACGATAGGAATGGAATTGTTGTTTTGATCAAGAAAATTTGTTATCAACCAGATTTTAGTCTCACAACAAAATGGGAAGTATTGTTAACCATCATATTTGTTCCGTCACTTATATTTTGTATAAATAGCCAAAATATTTGGTTCACCAACAAAGTATATAGTAGATATATTGACTATTTTTCAGGTTCTTGTACAACTGAATTAATACAGATTTCGAATTAACTTCAAATTTATTATTTATATACCGACATTATATTATTTATCAAAAAATTATTTCATCTCTACCAAAGCAAAACTATTATATAAGTGTAGAATGGTGGCCAACTTTACAGAATATCTACAGAATAATTATCTTCATTTGTAATTTCTCGTCTCCGTAATTTGAAGGTACTCTTCCATTTATCCTCTATGACACTCAATGGACGTTATTTAATTGCAACCACAGTTTATCAACTTCTTCCTGCAAGAAATGTGTAGAATCGAAATATGAATTTGATATTGAATTGATTGAATTCATGAATAATACTCACCATCACATAATTTCCATCATCTGATGAATTTTCCTCATCATAATTATTAATTGGGAAGACTACATCAGTGGTACCTACTCCTTGACGAGAGATTTCAAAATTTTCTCAATCTCCTTGTATGGTTCTGGTACTTGTCATATACAACCTCCCTGGAGTTATATCCACTTCTTTTGTACTAAATGATCCAAAAGTTGAAGAGAGTCCTGAGAAAAAGAGACGAACTCTTTCAATAATTTCATACAGTGTGTTAAATCATTACCAAATTTAGTACTAAATTACAACTCGATATTGAATACAGTGATTACATAATCGACTTACCAAACTCACTTCATTACAGAATAGGTATAATGTAAAATGATAATATCCAAATGATATAAAGCCACAACACAAAGAACCAAATAAGACGTCAGCAACAAAATCTCATGTGGACGCTGTCGTCCTGCTAATACCAATAGGAAGAACACAAGCTTATTGTCAACCCTTCAAAGAATGTTGGTTGATTTTAACCTACTGTTCGTTTGTCTACCAACTATGACAGTGAACGAGCTGTATAATAATATATTAGTTATACAACATAACATAGTTTGAATACTATCTTTAGTGTAATTTGAAATAGTTATAGGTTGATTTTACCTTTCTTTTTCGTTTGATTACCAACTTTAACAGTCAGCAAGCTGTAATAATATTTCAGTTACAGCTATAATGTTGTTGAAATACTATTCCTAGCTCGATTTGACTAATTTTCACAAATTATTGGTTGTACCACAAAAATATTATCTAAACCAACTAATATTTTTGGTTGAACTTGAGTTTGATCATGTACAATTTTTCCTCAATTGTTTTAACGATCATCTAATCATTGAATGTACCATCATTGTAGTTTTCTTCAACAATTATAATGATGTTGTTGATTAAGCACATTTTTTTGTCAATTCAACCCATACTATTTCTTTGAGCGATAGGAATTCTATGTATGTACATCTAACTCCTCTAATTGGTTGATAACAGGAAACATGATGTTCATGATATATCTATGGCCAATAACCACATAGCATGAGCTGAATATTCTCAACCCATGAAGGAAATCTAGTTCTTGTCTAGCTGTTCCTAATCTTACCACTCTCTGTAAATTTTTGTAAGCAGAGAATGTATCCAGAAATGCACTGTCATTCTCTGAAATGATAAAATTAGCTCTCAAAACAAAGGACTATGAAATGTATTTGAAGATTTTATTTGCCAGGCTGCAATTCCTCTTGTAATTATTATCGAGAAGGAATGAAATTTGATGAGCTACTTTAGGGTTTCATCGAATTTCAAGAATTCTCTGATATACGGAAAATTATTATTAATTCTGTTGTTTCAATTCAACTTGCTGTGTGTAGCCTGACTAATAAATACTAGCTGATTAAATAAATTGTTAATGTGAATAACTTCACATACGAATAGATTTACACGAAAAACTGGAAATATACACCGTGTCCCAGCTAAAATGCCTCCTCCCCCCCCCCCCTGTAGAACATCAACCGCACGATCGAATGACTTGAAATTTGGTCACCCAGTATATTTGAAGAAGCTAACTCGAAATATGCTATTGAATAAATCGTAGGTATACAGGGTCACACCGAAGTGCATCAAAACTTTTCTATTTGCATAGGGACACCCAGTATATTATTCCATATTCGAGTAGAGCTCATTATTACAAATTCAACAATGCTAGGTTTGATGAGATTTTTTCAAACGACTACGAAGATATGGCAGAAAATAAAACGAGTCAATGAAAAATTTAT